TGTTTAAAGGAATGACCTGACCTGCTGAAACTGAGGAGAGCTGAGCGTGTTCTGCAGCTCGTCTGAGCTCTGGGGCAGAGACTCTCCGGAGGGCAGGTACGGCGTCAGCCTCTGCTGCACCTCAGGGTTTGCCAGGATGGGAGCCATGACCTCCGGTGTCAGGACGCTGGCGAGGTCAACTGCAGGTGACAGACAGACGCTGGTTAGTATGAATTAAAAACATGCACATGTGACAACACACATCCTATTTCAGGGTTGGCAGCTTGATTTTGAGTAAAATACTTTAACAATACAACCATTTTAAGGAATTCACACATATTTTAATGGGAGAACTACTTGTAGCATTCACACCATGTAATCCAACTAATTCATATTTCATACTCAGATTTGTTTTTAAAATAAGAGAAATATTAAATTTCAGACCCTGTTTATCCTCCTGTCGTGTCAGACACTTTTCTTCTGTCAGTTTCCAGTTCAACTCAAGTTTTTTTTTATTATAACCTTATATTTCAACATCCAATGCACTTTGAAAGAGCTCAACTGTTTTCTGAATACATCACTTCATTTTATTGCTCATTTTATGTTTTAAACCTGCAATAACTCTTGTAATATACAGTGTTTATTTCCCTCTAAACCGATATCTGAGAAACGTTGAGTCACTGAATGCTCCTCTAGCCTTATCAACTAAAATGTTTGTCTGTCTGCTCTTCAGTGATAAACTGAGCTCATCACAGCTTTTCCACAGGAAACTGCTGCAGCTGAAAGCGACATGATGAGATTGAGAACTGCAATAAAGATCCACAGAGCGGAACTGAAGACTGAGATCGTTCCAGTTCGTCTCCTCTCACATGCAGAAAGTCGTGTGATCCACTCTTAGTATGAAAATATAGATTATATATTATTATTATTATTTTGTTCTTTCAGCCTCTTTTGACTCCTTCTATTCCCTCAGCTCGATCCAGTTCTGTTTGTCAATCTGTCGGCAGGGTGACCGTGATGAAGTGAGCCAGACTAGAGTGTGGATACCTGTGAGGTTTGAGTCGGGCTCAGCTAATTCTCTCTCAGGCTTGGTCGGGTTCAGACTAATGCAGAGTGATGCCTCATTTAGTGCGACACAGTCAAACTAAACCACACTAGGACAGATTGCAGTGTTTCCTGCTTCTGCAACAAACTGGATGTAATATGTTGAAATCACAGTGTCACAGAAACTGTTGTGTTCACAACTGTAACCATTTGCAGCATAATTAGTTGTAATTGAACTAACTAGGTCTACTGATGTTTTACTCCCTTTGGAGGCTGTTTAAGTGTTAGTTTTCTCTCAGCTCTGAGGACAGAAGGCGTTGGGCTGCTAGAGTTGTGTTGAAGCGGAGTCTCACCTCCCTGGCCGCTGGCGGGGACGTTCATGGTGGCGAGGATGCTCTGCAGGTCTCTCAGCTGGATGGGCTGAGTGGGGTTGGCTGCCCCCGCGGCCAGAGACGACACCGCGGGGGTGGTGGGGGTGGTGGCTGTGGGGGAGGCCGCTGAGGTGGCAGAGGGGGTGATGGGAGTGGTGGGCACCTGGGAGGAGCCGAGACGACTGGCAGCAGAGGTAGAGGTGGGGGTGACGGCTGTGGACGGACTGAGAGAAAAATAAAAACTCTGTATCAGTGAACAAACTTCAAACATGATGTAAACGTGTTTAGGGGAATATTTGAAGTGTAATTTTAGTTTCTACCTCGTTGAGGAGTTGCTGGCTGCAGGGACGCTGCTGCTGCTACTGCTGCTGCTGCCGCTGCCCAGGAGGTTGGCCAGGCCTGGACCGGCCAGAGCCCCAAGGCCACCTGATGATCAGAGAGCGTGAATCAGAATCTAATGAGATGTTTTAACGAGATGTAACAGTGTCAGCTCCGCAGTCTGAGGAAGACGTACCAATCCCGCCCAGTCCGGTCGGTCCAATGAGCTGCATGAGCTGGTTGTGGCTCATGTTACCCAGAAGGCTCTGCAGGCCGCCCTCCCCTTCACGAAAACAGAAGATATGACATTATAAGAGTGAAAATCTGTTTTCTGATGTATAAGTAGATAGATAAGTATGAGAATATGTGTTTACCTCCCAGAGCAGACAGGTCATGTCCTCCACTGCTGCCGCTGCCCAGAGCACCGGGCATCGGCGGGTTGTTCAGATACTCGTTCACTTTGCGGCAGTGCTCCTCATCCTTGTCGGTCTTTGGCTCCTGAGATCAGAACAAACAACTGAGTGAAGCACCAATCTAGTCACAAAGATTCAAATGTATGCTTAAACAAAAGATTGAACGCACTTAGATATTTATCTTTATTCAAGAGGAAACTAAATCTACATGAATGATGTAGCTGACAGCTTCATACCTGCATCCAGAAGAAGAGTCTTTTGGAGCCTGCCTTGAACTTCAGCACATAGACTCGTCCTGTGGTGCACTGGTTCACCCGTTTGAACTCGCAGTCGTCGGGGAAGATGATCAGGTCCTAAATTAACAAGATAAAACTGTTACTATAAAAAATATCGAACACAGAGCAGCCGGCGCTTCATGGAGATGGAGTTCCGTACATCATCCACGTTCCCGGTGGTCCGATCCTTCCAGCAGAAGTGGATGAGGGAGTCGTCGGTCTGCTGGATGTAGACCTGACCTTTGCGTTTGTCGGGGGTCACCGTGCTGCCCTTCATGGTCATCTTACCGGCCCGGAACTCCACCAGGTACTTGCTGGAGGAGCCGCGGGACCCGGACACCATGCTGGGGAACAACGCTCCAGACGCCATGATGAGGAGGACACACTTCTGCAGGGACAAACGTGAGGAAGACACACGGTAAGTTATTATTATTATTATCATCAGCCAAAAATATGACAATACAAACACAGACTATCAAAAACTGAATCTTTAATAAATCCACACAATATTTAACATTTAGAGAAACTAAGAAAATGTTGTTTTCATCCTGGAACTCATCTTGAGATCCCTCCCACATTGGGAATCGCTGACACAGGACATCCATCGTGAGACAAAGGGTCCCTCGTCCCTTTCCACCCCCCTCCACAAAAAAGTGACCTAATTCACCAGTGCGACACACTGACAGTGGACGGACGGTTGCATCCTCCTGAGTTTCATCTACAAAAAGTTAATACAACCATTTACCACCTGCACTGAGGTCGTCACATCAGCCTCCACTACATTTTAGAAATTAAGAAATGTGGATGTTTGTTTTGAAGGCCTGACACAACCCGACACAACCCGACACCTCAGGATCGTGCTTATGAAGCAGCTCCATCCCTCAGGTCTGCTGAGTACAAATATTTGATGTATAAGGTACTTATACATCAAATATAAATACAGATTTAAAGATAAATAACAGAAGCTGTACAAACTTGTGCATTAGACTGACACAGCCTTTAAAAATATTGGGCTGGTATTTTACAGCAGAAGATTAAAGCTTCAAATCCAAGTCTAGACACTGAACTGTGTATATAAAAGAGATCAGATACAGATAAACAGGCAGTAATGGTGACAGACCTGGCGACATGGTTCAAAACACATCGGTCCTGGAGATTTGGTTTATGAAGATTAAGAATTGAAATAAATAAACTCGAGCTGGACATTTTAAAAACATTATAATAATCCTCCAGGCTGGAGCAGATGGAACATGTGAAATACTAAAAAGCTGTGTTGGATCAGATGACTGTGCATCCTGCAGACAGGAGGCCTGACCTCAGCTGCTCCTCCAACACTGCTCCTCCAACACTGCTCCTCACACACACACTTCACACACACACACTCTCACACACAC